GATTTCACACCAAAATTGCGCGACACGAAGTGCAACTTCCACTTTATTAGTGCAACTTCCACTTTATTATTCATTTTGAAATCATACAGAAAAGTAAACAAATTTGAAACGATCTATTGGCTAAAAGAACCGATAACGGTATAAAATCTGCATAATATTCATCTATTTTTGTCAAGAAATTTTGCGGGGCATTTAAAAATTAAAAATACAAAATAATAAAATTTTGTGCCATTTTCCCTTGTAATTTGATTGGATAGTTACACTGAAATACTAAATCTGATTGGTTATTGTGGTGTAGAGCTTCAATCCTATTGGTTTATAAATGATGTGATTAATGCTCAAAAATAGTGCGAATTGGGAATTAATCACACTATTCTTAACCAATCAGATTGCAAGAGCGCTTAAAGCACGTGCTTTGTGATTGCTCAGAATGTTGTCACGCGGTTCAAAAATGTGACAAAAGTCTGTGTTGCCCACCCTCTAGGATAATTTTGACCCCAAAAATCGATTCCTGGCGTAAAATTCGACCAAGGGGTCAGTTTCTTGGCTATTTTTGCCCGAAGTTTTTCGTGAATCTTTTTATTATTGTGAAATGCTTGCCGTGAGCGATGCGATAATACATACCATCATGCAGATTATGAATGTTTATGTAAAAAATCGGCAAAAATCGTCTAAAGGCACTATTTTGAAGCAAAGTATATCAAAATGATCCTAGAAATGTCAACTAAATAGCTGTAACCAGTTTTTGTTTGCGTTTTGGGCAATATTCTAAGGATTAGGCCGCTTTGAGGTATAATATCGAATAATAGCTAAATCGTATGCAATTTAAAGTAAATATCATACCGAATTTGAAACATATAGAACTAGAAAAACATCTATCTACTAAAGACAATGCCCTCTTTTAAATTTCTATTAAAATCGGCCAAGTATTTGCACAGAAAATGCAAGTTAAAGTTAGCCAACCATTTTTAAACGTCATCAGATCAGATGACAAAGATTAAACTCGTCTTAGCCGGTAGGGTCACCCTGGGTGTAGGGCATCCTCTTTAGGAATGAAGGTAATCCTAGAGGTAAGGCAAATATTTTTCATGTAAACACTTTTTTTCTCGATTTATGGTACTTATATGATATCTGAATACGCATATTCTGATTTGACTGACAAAATCACGTCAAAACCTATTATCTTAGATTTAAACGAATGCCAAAAAGATCTCCAATGTCATCCAAATGCTACATGCATCAACACAGTTGGATCTTATAAGTGTGAATGTCTCTCTGGATATACGGGAGATGGTTTCATCAACTGCACTGGTAAGATTATAAACACAGTTGTATATGGATTTAACGTCACGGAACAATAGATAAATTATTAAGTGAAATTAAGTGTAAAATATTTCAGATGTTGACGAATGCGTAACATCTCCACCATGTCATTCCAATGCTACGTGCAATAACACAGATGGATCTTATATTTGCACATGTGATTCTGGATATACTGGTGATGGATTAACTTGCTCTGGTAAGGGAACTGAATTACATGGGTTTTCAGTAGCGTCGTTCTAGATAAAAAGTAAATGCGGAAAAGATCATCCATGTTATTCTAATGATACATGGAATAACGCAGGAAGACCTCAGTCGTCTGTAGAAGCGTATGATTCTGGGTCTAGCGGAGTTCGACTAATTTGAGACATATGCTTTTAGCTTTTAATTGCGTAAAAAACGTTGAAGAAAGTGATTGAAATTCATTCAAACTGAATTTCTAGATGCAAATGAATGTCAAAGAGATTTCCCTTGTCATTCTAACGCCACGTGCAATAACACAGATGGATCTTATATCTGCACATGTGATTCTGGATATACTGGAGATGGATTTAACTGCTCAGGTAGGGCAACGTAAATATTTTAGGGTTTTGTGAAGCACCTTTTAAAGTGTGTAAAAAATACCACTCCATTATAATCGAAAACAAAACAGATTTCCTGTATCTTTTTAACATGAACGGATAGTATATTCGCCGATGCACAAGCAAATTGAAATATACTTAAAATTGGATTGGCTGGCATTGCTAAATAATAGCGGATTTTTTAAACAGGCATTAGTGTAGGCTGATACTACATAAATTATTAAATAATTTGATTTTTTCTATATCACTGGGACCAGCAATAGCACTGACGGGTCTTACCAGTTACCTCATTGAAAAAAAATTGGTAATCCTTAATTTTAGATGTTAACGAATGCGTAACATCTCCCCCATGTCATTCTAAAGCCACGTGCAATAACACAGATGGATCTTATATCTGCACATGTGATTCTGGATATACTGGAGATAGATTTAACTGCTCAGGTAGGGCAACGTAAATATTTTAGGGTTTTGCGAAGCACCTTTAAAAATGTATAAAAAATACCACTCCATTATCATCGAAAATATTTTAGAGTTTTGGGAAGCACGCTTAAAAATGTATAAAAAATATCGCTTCCGATATAATCGAAAACAAAACGGATTTCCTGTACCTTTTCAACATGAATGGATAATATATTCGCATGTGCAAATTAAAATAATTACTCCGGCGTCAGCGACGGAGTTAAAAATTCGCCTCGGTTTTGTTTTGTTGTTTTTTTTGTTCTTTTTTATTTTTCGTCGTCGCAAGTCTGAAATGGCGCGAAACATTCTAGTATTTGAAATGTGTATGTAATCGTATTTATCTATGTCCCAGTCTTATCTCCCAAGAGTTGTGGTGTACAGCTTTGGCTAATTTTCCGATGCGCGATTCGATTTCGCTCGCATGATACGGCAATTCCTCCAAAAGGAACGAATAAACCGTTGTTTTCATGCTGTTTGATTAAGTTTAGATTGAATTGGGGTCAGAATATATTAATACATGTTGATTCTGGTCCTATATTTTAATAATATCACTGCTATTTCGCCGTTTAACAAGATGATGTGGTCATGTATGGGCACGTTGACACGTCGCGTAGTTTGAAGACTTAATAGAGACCTTGAGTTTGACGTTTACGGCAAACGCCAAACCGCTAGCAATGTTTGTGTTTTAACTCCACTGTCTTTATGTGTGCGGCAATTTCGCTAAATTACAAACGTTCTGCATAAAACTTTTGATGTTTAGCAGTAATGTAAGAAAGCAAAAAGACTATTTCTGGTGTATTTAGAAAAGCAGCAAATTTAGCTTTGCCGTATATGTTTCACGTTCGCCGTATAAAATTTAATGCTTGAACGACTGAGAGGGTATGCAATCGTTCAAGCATTAAATTTTATACGGCGAACGTGAAGCACATATACGGCAAAGCTGGGTTTGCTGTTTTTCTAAATACATCAGAAATAGTCTTTTGCTTTCTTACATTACTGCTGAACATCAAAAGTTTTATGCAGAACGTTTGTAATTTAGCGAAATTGCCGCACACTTAAAGACAGTGGAGTTAAAACACAAACATTGCTAGCGGTTTGGCGTTTGCCGTAAACGTCAAACTTAAGGTCTCTAATATAACTATATAAGCGCGAATTCCAAAGGCAAAGTGTAAGACAAAGCGAATGTATCATGCGGTTTATTTACATTTTCGAACAATTGAACTTCTACACTTTTTAAAGTACGATGTGCTTCTGAAAAAATGAAAAAATGCGAATATGAACTGTATTGTTCATGTTCAGAAGCTCTATATTAAAGACTGGCACGTGCTCCGGAGTTAACGCCAGAACAGGCGTCTTGTTACATTTAAAATTAGATTAGCTTGCATTGGTAAATAATAGCGGATTTTCTAAACATGCATTAGTGCAGGCTGATATTACATAAATTATTAAATAATTTGATTTTTTCTACAGGGTGAGTCAGAAAAAAGTCCCCTCTATTGAAATCAAGCCTTTGTTAGAATCTGATTGCCTTAATATTATGATAAACCCAATTGAAAGCAAGACGCTTTATTTGAATGCCTCAACCTAATAACTATGCAATTTACACACTACTGCGTTGATCATGCATTCAAATCAACAAAGGCTTCATTTCAAAAGGGGGGACTTTTTTTGACTCACCCTGTATATCACTGGGACCAGTAATAACACCGACGGGTCTTACCTCATTGAAAAAAAATTGGTAATCCTTAATTTTAGATGTTGACGAATGCGTAACATCTCTCCCATGTCATTCCAATGCCACGTGCAATAACACAGATGGATTTTATATCTGCACATGTTATTCTGGATATATCGGAGATGGATTTAATTGCATTGGTAAGAATATTTAGCTATGCATACATATATTTTTTGTAAGTGAAATATTTGCTGAATATAGCGTAACATTAATTTTAGATGACGACGAATGCCAAAGAGATTCCCTTTGTGATTCAAATGCATCTTGCAACAACACAGAAGGATCATATATTTGCACATGTAATTTCGGATATAGTGGAGTTGGATTTAATTGCACAGGTAGGAATATTTTCAAAATTATTCAACTTAAATTAATTTTGATGGCTGGAAATTTATTGTTAGTTGACAAGCTTCGTCGAAGCAATATAAAGTAAATATAATTATACCAAACGATTATTTCAAATCTGAACAAATTCCAAACAGGTTAACATGTAATTATAAAACAGGCGTTATGCTGTTATAATAAAGATTCGTCACAACGTAGAAAAGCATGATTTTGACTGATAACCTTTTCTACAAACGGCCCTAGGATGTAGTGGAGAAGGATTTGTGTGCACTCGTATGGATATACAAATTAATTAGACTCCCAAAACAATAAAAAATATCGAAGAGATGCAATCTTTAAATGTGTTACAATTTTAGATGTAAACGAATGTCTAACCGAATACACATGTCATTCAAATGCTACGTGCAGCAACACAGATGGATCTTACATCTGCACATGTGATTCTGGATATACTGGAGATGGGTTCAACTGCACTGGTAAACTTGTGTGGATAATTGGTTTTAGTATCTGTAAGAAGCACAGCCTAAAAGTCGGGTAAATTGTTTCAATTTTCTTTCAAGATGTCAACGAATGCCAGACATCTTCCCCATGTCATTCCAATGCAACGTGCAACAACACATACGGGTCTTACATGTGTACTTGTGATTCTGGATATAGTGGGGATGGATTTACATGTACTGGTAAGTTTACAAGAACTAAGTTCATTGTAATCGCTTGGACATTAATTTCGTGAGTATTTTCATTTTTTTCGAAGAATTGCCACAATTGCAAAGCGACGAGTGTAAAAATTACGAATAGCTATGTCATGATGTTATTTCGATATGAATTTTACGAGAAATCCTTGAACTTACATTTTAATACTACATGCATGGGCAGAATTTATTCCATGCCACAACTATATTTCGCGGCAAACTGCAGCGTGTTAGAAACATGAAAGATATCTTTGTATATACGTTAATTCGTGGTGTATTCATTTTGCAGTTGTATTCACTTGCATGGAGTTAAGGCTTAATGTCAGATATTTTTCCGAAGTTATCTTTAAATCTACAAAATAATTTTAAATGTTTGGTGATTTATTTTCGTCTATTTCGACGGCAGAAATTGCTAACTGGATTTAGCTGGAGTTGCCTTTAGTCAAGCGGGCTTTTGCCAAGCAACACAACAAATACTTTATTCCAGCGTTTAATAATTTTACTCTTTATAATGCGCTGTTTACATGATCTCGAGTACCAGGGACACTTTACCGTTCGAGTTACCGTGATGGAGGTGACTCCATGTCAAAATTTTAGCAGCTGAAACGCAGCCAAGTACTAGTGTTTATATTGAAAGTTTAAACTCGCCTTAGCTGGTAGGGTCACCCTGGGTTTAGGGACACCACCTTTAGGAATAAAGATAATCCTAAAAGCAGGGACAATTTTTTCTGTGTATATACGTTTTCCCCGATTTATAGTACTTATATTATATCTGTTTACGCATATTCGGATTCGACTGACAAATCACGTCAAAACCCATTATTTTAGATGTAAACGAATGCCAAAGAGATCCCCAGTGTCATCTAAATGCTACATGCATTAACACAGTTGGATCTTATAACTGTGAGTGTCTCTCTGGATATACGGGAGATGGTTTCACCAACTGTACTGGTAAGATTATAACCACAGTTACATATGGATTTAGCATCAAGGAAAAATATATAAATTATTAAAAGAAATAAAGTATAAAAATATTTTAGATGTGGACGAATGCCGGAGAGATTCTCCATGTCATTCCAATGCTTTGTGTGACAACACAGACGGATCTTACATCTGCAGTTGTAATTCAGGATACAGAGGAAATGGATTTAATTGCACTGGTAAATTGTATAATATTTGAGTATTCAAATACAAAAATATCATTCAATAATTTTAACACTAGATATAATACCAAATCACTAATTTAGTGGAACTTGGGAAAACAGTCAGCAAAACACATTACATCCCTTGGTGTTAGTAAACAAGTGATTTGGTATTATAATTTTGAAAGCATAGCAACGGGCATCAGAGTAAACACTTTAGTCATTCCTCTGATTGGCTTAGATCAGCGGGCGTAACTATATTTCAGCCCGCCATGTGACTTTTTTTAGTTTTTGACATTAGATATATCTAAAAGAAAAATTGCGGAAAAAAAGTCATTGATATTAATTGTGTTGAAAAATCACTGATACACACAGAGAGTTCCTTATATTTATATTATATTTTAAAATCTGGGGATATTTTGGGCTTAACAGTGAAGTGATGCAATATAATCTTGGGCTCCGAAACATTTTCACAGTGGTATTATCTAAAAAATTACAGATATTGATGAATGTTTGAAATATCCATGTGGCTACAATGCAGTATGTACAAACAGTGGTGGATCATACTATTGTCATTGTCAAATTGGGTATAAAGGAAACGGAACAAATTGCACCGGTAAGAACTCTTTCCGTCTTTTTCTGCAGTGATTTTTGAATGAAAAGCAATTCAAATTACTGGGCATAAAAGAAACAGAGCAAACATTTTAACATTGCGAATCTGTATAATTGGTATGTCTCTTGGTTTTAAGTCTCGCCCTTCTCATATATGGATATACATTCGTCCGATTCATCTAATGTTCTGTGATGTTAAATAAAAATCACGGCCGACTCGATAATTGACTTTTTATAATTATAGACATCAACGAATGCACTTCTAACCCTTGTGATGTGAATGCCAACTGCACAAACACAATGGGCTCACATCTCTGTAAATGTCAAATCGGTTATGAAGGAGATGGGACAAGATGTAGAGGTAAACCCGGCTATATCAACATTCATTTTTGAATGCACATCTATCCTTAGTAGGGAATTTGGGTGAGCGATAGCTGTACCAATGCTATATATGGTAATTGAAGGTATCGCAGCAACACTGTATCGTACATATATATCGTACATATGTATAGCCAGTCCAAAATTAGATTAGTCATTAGTCATTATTCATTTTTGAGAAATTGATTATTCTTAAAGTCAATGAACATAAAATATTTGGATACCCGGACTAATTTGTTGACACTGCACAGCAATTAAGCGGGATATGTATGTTGGTTAAATGAAAATATTTTTGAACATCCATAAAAGGGAAAGGTTTTCTTTTTTCTATCTTCTTAAAATGCTTATAGAGATCGTGTCATCCTTTAAAGAAAGATTTACCACAAACCGATAATTAACAATTATAAAATACCACGAACTCGAATCATTATTTCTCTGTTTGACTGATATGAATGAGTGTGCAGATCCAAATGCAAATGCATGTGATTTAAACGCGACCTGCGAGAACACTGTTGGTTCATATCGTTGTGAATGTCAAACTGGATACGAAGGAAATGGGCGAAATTGCACAAGTACAAAAAATGAGCAGGATAAGCTGTAACTTGTACTGTTTTCAGTGCTGCCACTGGAGTTGCATTGGAAAAACTAACCAACATAAACAACATATCTGCTTTCTAGTTATTATCGACACTTTTATAGTTATATTCGCACATCATCCCGTATAAGGTGATTACTTTATTCCTACATTGAACGAGCACGATAGAAATTATTGTGATAAAAGTTATCGCAATAGTTTTAAGGGCGATTAGTGATGAAATTTCGTTCCCCATGCCTCTGAGAACCCCTTGGAGATTAAATGGGGTAGATTTAAAAATGATATTCAGCTTTAGCTACGCAAAAATAACGCTTTCTTTACATTCAGAAATGTTATTTTTTGAAATACGACATTAACGTACTGTCTGCGTATCTAACACATTTTTAGTATTTATATATTTGTTACAGATGTGGATGAATGTGCGCATTTTCCTTGTGGTCCACATTCAAATTGTGTAAATACTGATGGTTCATACTTTTGTGAATGTCACACTGGATATAAAAGGGCCGGCCGGGAGAATTGTACAGGTAAACTTCATGGGTATTTTTTATTTTTTCACATATTTTCTACATAACCATTCATTGTGATTAAAATGTTGCAACAGATCTCGTTATTTGCAGATGTGAACGAATGTGCAGAGAGCCCGTGCAGTATGGATGCAAACTGCACAAATACGGATGGTTCATACTTTTGTAAATGCAAAAGTGGATATAAAGGAAATGGGAAAAATTGTACAGGTAAAAAAGGGGTTCTTTATTTCTGCGATAATCAGAGGTTGTAGTATTTTTTGAGAAAACGTATTTAATATATGTGTATATCATTATACATATCTCACACAAAAAATCTCATAGGTCTGGTTATGAATCAATCGGTTGTTAATCGCTTTTTTTCCCAAAAATATTTTGGAAATTCAAGCGAAAATAGTAGTTTCTTATTTGCTGAAAATAATTAATTACATCTATACTTAAAATGATAACAAAAATCATTACGACGAAGCTGGTTAGTTAGTTCGGATTCGAAAAATTTTCTTTTTGAAAGTTTGGTTTCTGCATCTTCCATCTTCTGCATCTTGAGTTCGTTTTTTTTGCTGCGTGTTTGCTTTGAAGCGTATTTTACTTACGACTGCTTTTTGATCGATTGAGTATTAAAGCCAAGGTGAGTGGGAATTTCCTTTTGAATATTTTAACATAAATTTGAAAGCCAAGGTATTGAAGAAAGCTATAGTGATGATTTTTTTATGTAAAACCTGCAACTGTTTTGTAGGCATATTCGGGGAGATTTAATCGAGCTTCCACGTGTACCAATGCCATGGTAATCAAAGGTATATTGCAGCAACGGTAGCATGACCAGCCCCCAAAAAAATTGGGCGTGACATTCTGCTTTCAAGTCATTATCATTATTCATTTTTGAGAAATTGATTATTCTTCAAGTCAATGAACATAAAATATTTGCATACCTGGAGAAATTTGTCAACACTGCACAGCAATTGAACGGAATATGTATGTTGGTACAATGAAAATACTTTTCAACTTCCATAAAAGGGAAAGCTTCTCTTTTTCCTATCTTCTTAAAATGCTTATAGAGATCGTGTCATCCTTAAAAGAAGATTGACCACAAACCTATAATTAACAATTATATACCACGAACTCGAATCATTATTTCTCTCTTTGACAGATGTGTGTGAATGTGCAAATGCAAATGCAAATGTAAATGTAAATGCAAATGCAAATGCAAATGCAAATGCAAATGCAAATGCAAATGCGTGTGATTTAAATGCAAACTGAAAGAACACAGTCGATACAGATCGTTATGAATGTAAAACTGAATACGCAGGAAATGGGCGACATTGCACAGGTGACAGGTAAAAGTTTCCTCTTTGCGAACTAGCGGGAAAGATTAAGCTGTAAACTTGCACTGTTTTCATTCAGTTTCGCCTTCATAGTCTCCTCAAGAAAACTTATACGGACAGACATAAACAACATATCTGCGACAAATATATTATTTCTAGTTATTAGTATATATTATACAGCACATCATACGTATGGTGGATACACAGCAAAAAATCGTTTTTTTTATTTCAAGAGAAAAAAACTTATTTCAAGAAAATGTTCTTGAAATAAGAAGATTTCTTGTTGGGAGAATAATAAGAACATTTTCTTAATATGAAAACTGAAATAAGAAAAATTTCTTATTAAAGAAAATTATCAAGAAAAATTCATGAAAAAATTCTAAAATTGAAAAATTATTTTCTGAAAATAAGAAATTGCTCCGCAGTAATTTCTTGATTTAAGTAAATTACAATTTCTTGATTTACGAAAACAGCTGTATTCGTCAATAAATTAAGAAAATCGTTCTTATTTTAAGAAAAAAATTCTTGAAAGCGAGATATTTCTCGTTTTAAGAATATTTTTGTCATCAAGAAAATTATATTCTTATTTTGAGAATACTAATTAAATAATAATTAGTATTCTAATAATATAATAATTATATTAAATAAGTAATATTATAATTTTCTAATACGAAATTGTTCTTAGTTCTTTATTTCTACATTGAACGAACACGCTTGAAATTATTGTGATAGAAGTTATCGCAATAGTTAGTTGTGTAAAGTCGATTAGGGATGAGATGTCGTTCCCCAAGCCTCTGAGAACCCTTTGGAGGTCATTTTGGGTATATTTATAAACGATGTTCAGTTGTACATGAAAAATGCTTTGCTTACATTCTGAACTGTCATACTTTTTGGAAATACGACAAACTGTCTCCGAACACATTTTTGGTTCGCTATATATGGTTTTTAAATGAAATAATTATAAACTATAGTCTTCATGTGTGCAGGAATATCCGAAGCATGCGCATTTTTGGGCCGCCCATTGTTATAGCATGCAGAACTACAACTACTGCGCGGTTACTAATTTTCACTATTTTTCAGTTATCTAGGTATCTTGCTCTATGGAAATACTGATTTTGCCTGTATTCATTTATTCATCTCCCAAACACTGTACCAAAGATATATTTTTAATATTGATTTATCATCATACAGATTATTTTTAGCATTTTCATTGTGAGAATGACATTTATATATTTGTTACAGATGTGGTTGAATGTTCCCATTCTCCTTGTGGCTCCAATTCAAATTGTATAAACACTGATGCATCATACCTGTGTATGTCACCCTGGATATGAGAGGACTGGGGAGAATTGTATATAGGTTAATTCGCATTTTTTATTTTTTTCATTACAATTTTGTAGACCATTAATTTTGCGAAAAATATATATTTTCCACATAATCGAAATCGTTGTGATTAAAATATTGCAACGGATTTTTTTTCATTTTGTTCTCTTCAGTACCTAATAGATGAAAAACAAACAAACACAAAAACGAAGCGATGTTCGGTATGTTCGTTTTGTTTATGTTTGCAGGTGTGAACGAATGTGCAGAGAGCCCGTGCAGTATGGATGCAATCTGCACAAATACGAATGGAAAATACCTTTGTAAATGCATATTGGATATAGAGGAAATAGGAGAGATTGTACAGGTAAAATTGGGCTTCTTTATCTCTGCGATAGTCGAAGGTTCTAAGGAATCTTTTTGAAAATTTAATATTTAATAATTATTCGCTAAAGGCGAGGTGATTATGGGGGAGGAGACGAAGTCGAGCGAATTCCACAAGTGAACTGACATAAGAACTGCATTTGTTCGCTTATCTCTTCGTAAGAAACCGTCCACAAAACGGCTATTCTCCATTTTGCAATTAATTTTCGGTTATATTATATTCACCTGACCTGAAGGTGAATATAACAGCATAATGCGTCATATTTGAATGTAGGATTTGTAGAATCAGAATGTAGGATTTGTTATTTTCACTGGTGCAAAAATACTATATAAAAATAAAAGTGTATTTCATTATACATTTAAAAATCTTATGAATCTACGGTCTTCTTATAAAGGATTTGATAGCTGTTTTTCCAAAAAACGTTTGGAACTTCAATCGAAAATTGTAGTTTCTTATTTTCCGAAAATAATTAATTACTTGAAATTATAACAAATGTCATAACTATACGAGGCTGGTTAGTTAATTCGGAGTTATATATTAATTCGGATATTAATGATATATATTTTCACTAAGAAAGTGCTCTTCGCTGTAAAATTTAGGAATTTCAAGAACTTCAGCAAGAGAGAGTAAATTGTTTCACTTATGCTTCAAATGTGCCTTATTGTTGAAGTTTGTTCATTTCAAAAAGCTATAGGGTGTTTTTTTATTGTTTTTCGTTCCGAGCATTAGACAATTCAGCTAAAGCGTCGTGGTCAACAATGAAGCTTTGGCCACTTGCACTTTGGCCACTTGCAAGCATAGGGCGCGTGACATATTCAACCAAGATCCGTCAATATAGAATATAGATCAGTTATTATAATGTCGGCAAAATACTGTTTCCCATTTGCAGAAATCCCGCGTAAGATGGATTCTAAAAATTTTTTCAAAGGTATATAAGGTTCAGCCTGCGCCTGACGAAGAGCCTGACGCAAAGAGCCTGATTTCATTTATCCCATTATTCCTTTCGAGCGTAGACCACGAGGGAAATTTGAATACTTTGCGAAGCAACGTATAACGCATATAAAGAATTATTGTTTTTTGATTGCGAATGTGGCAATTGTGAATTGTATCTTGCTATTTACTCTACATATTGTCGATAAAGATATGGAAGTGTAGGATATGAGAAAATAGACTCTTTATCTGCGAAAATTTGCGGTATTTTATGAGGTGGGTTGATGTTTCATAAATGTAAATATGCCAACATACGGAGTTAACATATTCAGGTTTTCTTTCATCTTGCGATGATTTGGGCCATGATTTTACGTGTTATTATATGTTTTGAATAGTTAATTGATAGGCTATTCTATTAAATATCTCTTCTTAGCTTTTGAAGAAGCCTGTATAGCAGGGCAGATAAGCAATAACTTAAAATTCCTCAGATTAGCTATTAAAATTATGGTCTAGAATTCCTCAGTGGAGCTAAAATAGTTTTGGATTTTCTCAGTAGGGGTTTGAATATTTAAATAGAATAGTCCAATGTTGTGATGTATATAATTAAGAAGCAGCAATATGACAGTGTTTCTGATGTCTTTGTTTGAAATATAGCATAACAACTGCCTTGTTGTTTCCTCCTAAGTACCTTCTTTTGATGAGTAAGTTAATTGTCTCCTGATGATGGTCTTTGGGTTGAAGGCTCAAGGAAATGTTTTTGTCCATTTTAGGCAATTTTTATACCACTGTGGCTTTCATATTTAATAATAATACAGTGCTCCCCTGCCAGGAGGCAAGAGCTCAATTTCAAAGGAGTAAATGTTTCAGATTTATACCAAATTCTGGGGGGTTAATGTAACAAAGGGTGTACTTAAATTGTGCATTAGAGTCTGCCTATCATTAAAATTACCACAAAGCTATATATATTGCCTTCAGGCTTCAGATACATAAATCCATATATATTCTGTTAGGGATAATTTGTTGATTTTCGTGTTAACATTAATTGATTTCTATATGGATAAAGCTTCTTTATATTGTTCGATTTCATCAAAAGCATTTTCATGATGAATTGATTGGAATTGTGAATGATCATTAATGGAGGTAGAAAAGGAGGGTAGAATGGGTTGAGAGATTTGATAATATTTAACATTGCACTCAAGCAAATTCAGGAAGTGTCTATTACTATTATTTGTCATTAATTAACAATTATATATACCATAAGTTTAAATCATTATTTCTCTCTTTGACAGATATGGATGAATGTGCAGATGCAAATGCGAATACATGTGATTTAAACGCAAACTGCAAGGATCAACAGTGTTGTTTCATATTGTTGTGAATGTAAAGCTGGATACGAAGGAAATGGGTGACATTTCACAGGTATAAGTTTCCTCCTCTGGAACAAGCAGGGAAGATTAATCGGTAAACACTTGCACTGTTTTCATATACAGTTCCAGAAATTGAATGTCATTTCCCAAGCCCTGAGAACCGAGATCATTTTGAGTGGATTTAAAAAGGATGTTTAGTTGTAGGAAAAAAAATGCTTAGCTGCATTCTGAACATTATGTTCTTTTTTTTGAAATACGACAAACTGTCTGCGAACAAATTTTTGGCTCGCTTGGTTTTTAAATGAAATAATTATAAACAATAGTAAAACCAGCCTATAGTATAGTCTTCATGTGTTCAGGGATAACCAAATCATGCAAAATTTATGCATTTCTTGGGCCGAATGTGCCCATTTATTATTCTCCCAAACGTTATATCACAAGGTTTTTTATTGCTGAGTAAATTATCATACAGATTATTTTTACTATTTTAATTGTGAGAATGATATCATATATTTGTTATGCAGATGTGGATGAATTTGCCCTCTCTCCTTGTGGTTCCAATTCAAATTGAAAATCAACTATAAAATAGCTCACACACACACATATATATATATATATATATATATATATATATATATATATATATATATATACACCCATTTGCAAAAACGTTAGCCGCAGATAGATAGATAGATAGATACTCGAAGGCTAATTAGAATTGCATATCATTACATTAGCATGGGATTTCTATAATATTACACAACATATGCAATTCTAATTAGATTTCAAGTATCTATCTATCTATATATATTTATCGTATTTGTTTTAAAAATCGCGTTCATACGAATATACATGCAGGTGAACATAATGGATGACACGTTTCTTTGCACCCTCTCTTGTGCAAATATCCCAAGAAATTCGAGCTTGCTTGTCACCAGAGCACATAGAATATTTAAAAAATTGGAGTGGATTTTTAAAATAATTAACAAAAAGTAAAATAATATTAATAGGTGATAATATATAATCATTGATAACACAATAATTAATAATAATAATATAATATCGGTCTGGTTGCGGTTCGATTGCGGTTGACCAATAAAAACCGCAGACGAGCGCAAAGAAAAAAATACGATCGCTGTTGCCGTTCGCTTCCGAACGGAATGTTATGAACTTCTGAGAACGACAACACTATAATCAAATAAAAAACATCTAAAGAAATGTCTGTCAGACCGAGTTAGACCGAGGTTCAAGCTCCGTCTCACCCTGGTTTTACCTCGGTCTGACCTCGGTTCAACCGCGATCAGACCGAGGTTTGACCTTAGATTAACCGCGGTTTTTGTTAGGTTATTTCTGGACAGTACTAGTATTGCAGACAATGGAGTTTTCTATGTTGCAGATATCGATGAATGCGTTTTCAGCCCTTGTGATGTGAATGCCAACTGCAGAAACACAATTCGTTCACACTTGTGTGAGTGTCATACTGCTTATGAGAAAAATGGGAGAAGATGTACAGGTAAAACCGAATTTGATTCGTGGCCATTGGCGTCGGCCAGTTGCTCTCGTGTGCGGGCGACTTTTCCGGCGACTTTGGTCATTCTACGATGGCAGTGCAAAATGAATTGGTGGCTGAGGGCATATTGAATGTTTACTTTAGTTCACTACGCATGCGCTGTTAAAGTGCTTATATCACTTGTGGGATCTTTACGGATTTGAATAGAGCTTGAAAAATTAGTTTATAAGTTCTACAACCTTTTTTGATGTAATTAAATAGTTTCGAAAATACGTCGGTTGGGGGGAATGTAAACAAAAAGGGTTTCAGTGGCGATATAGTTTGCGCTTTTCAAGAAGAAAATGTGGGAACGGTGCGTTGTGTATGGCTGTAGCAACTGGGCGAGTTTTTCTCAAAATATTTTACGTTATTGGAAGATCGAAGTAAAATTACAATTGATTATATTATGTTTGACAAGAACTCGGTTCCTGAGTTCTAGGCCCCCGAGCACGACGTAAATTTAGGCAAATCGTCATGTTTGGATGTAAATATTTCCGAAACTATATTTAACTATATCAAAAAAGGTTGTAGAACTTATAAACTAATTTTTCAAATTTCAAGCTCTATTCAAATCCGTAAAGATCCCACAAGTGGCACTTTAAGACGAATAGCTTTCATTTGGTCACAGTTTATAGAATATACCTCATGTAAATTCTATTAACTGTGACTAAATGAAAGCTATGTTATTGTCAAGGTTTATGAAAAAATGGTTCCTTTCTCGTCACGTATCTATTGTATTTTAGCCAAATTTACCAATAGCTTTCGTCTTGCTAAGCTCCCCAACCTTTTGAAAAATATATGAATTAAAAGATTGCTATTGGTTTATCTGTGCATTATACAATAGACATGTGATAAGCGAGCAATTATTTGCATTAATCTACCTCAACTTAGTTAATGAGTTGTTTTGCAGTTTTTTGTGGTCTCCAAACCATGTATATTCTATTAACTGTGATTTAATTATCCATGCCTGAGCTACCCGAGCTGAAATCTCAACCTTTACCGGGTAAAACTAGCCCCGGGGATTAAATTTTGTCACGTAATCGTTTCAATTAAACCAGGCCTGAAGTTATTCGAAAATGCGTATATAGTAGTGCCATTTACGCGCGTGACTGAAAACAAAACGCGAATTTATTATTTGCGGCCTTTTTTGAACCTAGGGCTGAAGTTCTCAGCCCTGTAGATTAAATTATTCATGTAACCGAAAAAAAATTCATCCCGGTCAACAGGGTTATATTCCACCTCAGGGTTAAAAATCACCCATGTAATCGGCCCTTAGCTTGGCTTAAGACATCATACGTTTAGCAAAATATTCCTCCTTACGATGTAGATATTACATAGCTCAGGTGATGAAGCATGTTTCTTGATAAAACGTTGTCTTTAACATACTGTATATTTGCTTATAATCTGATCTATTATCTATACCATAAAATTTGCAAAACGACCACCAGTCCAAGAGGTTGTGTTCACTTTATGCCACGAAAACACATTAATTCCAACCGCTATATTTATCATAGACAGTATGCAGACGTTATAGTTATTATTCCTTATGCGTGGTAGCTAATTCTTAAACTATGACTTGGAATTGAACCGGGAACTAAAAACCCAGAGTAATTATAAAAAAATGTGGAAATGTGTGAAACAAGGGTTCTTTAACAGAGTATGATTATGCTTGAGCAGCGGGATGTCTTAAACACCTCTGTTCCTGCTTAGTGCATGACGGACATTAATAATACAGCTTGTATCTTGAACGACGGCAATGAACGAGCCTGGTCGAATATATCGGCACTGTCATTAATTTCTCAAGTTATCACGAGGAATATTTTTTTGTTTTGAACCAATATTAAATGAACATGGTGTTATACATCAGTCGCCAGTAAAATATATCCATGAATATCAAAATAGTGTCTAGTATTCTGCCATAGTGTCTAGTATTCTGCCATGTCATTGCCAGAAACCAAATCTACGACGCGGACGTGAAGTAATTTTCTCGAATTTCCACAGTTTCTTAACAGGGATGAAAATTATGGACTCCCTTTGATAAATAAAGTCAAAGCCGTATGTGAAACAAATGAATACTGGTTTCTTCACACTGGTAGCAATTTTCATGTAATGTCCGCGTCGCGATCGTAGATTTGGTGCATCTTAAACTCGCTAATCATGTGAAAATTAACATTCTAGCTATTTCCGTCGAAATTTGCAACATTGTCAAATTATAGCCGTGTCGGTTTTTCTAGTAAATTGTATAATACAAAGTACTAAAACTATAATATAAAATATAACTCATGTCGGTTAAAAAGAAATCGGTTGTAATTTGCCTCGATTGCTAGTTGCGGAGCAAGCTACTCCAAATATTTTGGGGTGGATTTTTAAAATTTTTATTAGTATTCTTCCTGCATTTGCAAGCCAAAGTTTTATAACGTCGAATACCAGGGTATAAACCCGTACCAGCAAAACATTACCCGAGGAACTTCGATATGCTTTTCTTTACAAGAAACTACCAGGGTAAATTGTATAAATATTGAATGATTTTCTCAATTTTTTCAAAATTCAAGAATGCCAAATATAATTTATAGCGCAGCGAATGAAAGATATTTGAACAAAAATGCAAATTATTTTGTGAAATCAGCATATTCCATGACCGTGATTTCTAGCTGTGAATAATATTTCAAAAATGATTGCAATGGTTTGGCGCGAAATTCCTCATATTTGAATTTTCTCTGAGCTAACATACTGTCTTCAGTCTGAAATATTGCTTGAATGGACTATAAATTACCAGGTATGAATATTTTACAACATTATCGAATGTTTTAACTGCACATGCAAAGCAATTCAGAGGGAGCTTTACTTTAAACCCTGCAGCTAATTCATACAGAAGTTGACTGCCTTTTTTCCCACTCTAGAAACCAGGGGTGACTTTAGAATTATTCTTTCTTTTACTATCCTTCTACCTTCCTCTCCTCATCTTCAGGCGAGCACGCGGGGGTGCTTGGGGTGGTTTTCACAAAGTTAGCGCCTGACAGAAAATGATTTCAAAATGTAAACATCCAAATGAATTATACAACATAATACAATACAATAATTTTATAATAAAGTTACCATGAGTTAAATTAAGGTTTTTACAGGTTTTTAAAAATGTTCTAGGTTGATTAATGTTAAGAGTTTCGTATTACAAATTATATCCGATAAACAAAACCACCCGCGCACGCTCGCGTTTTTACATCTATGCAATAGTTGAATTTAACGTTATATATTTTACTACTAAAGCGCCTGGTACGAGGCTGGTTTCGAAGCGGTTGAGTTATCATCACGTGTAACCACAACTCGCGCGAACAACGCAACGAAAATAATTTGAACCGTTGCCAAAATGTTGCGTTGCTTGCGCTAGAAAAAAAACTCGCACGTGTCACTTGACCGTAAGCAGCGATTTAAATATTTGAGTATTTCTTCAGCAATATAGCGATGAAACTGTATTCCCCATGCTATAAGCAGATGTAAATAAAACGATATATTTGAATTCGAGGTTTTTGAATCACACTAAGATGCTAGTAATCTGTCTTTTGAAATTCTTTTGGACATGCACCGCTCTGGCCTTTTTTACTGTTTTAAAGAAAAGTAATAATAGTAGAACTCTGACTGCGAAATTTCGTTTCTTGGCGGATTTGTTAACGACGATGCTGGTGATATTAATTTTATTGATTAGCTATATAAATCTTTGGTAAATCTGTGCTAGGTAGTATGAGCTAGCTTGAATTCCAGCTTTTTTATGGCTATACGTCAAAATAATTGCGTTTCCGTGGCGCGAGGCCAGTTTAAATAGAGCAGAGTGAGGATTGGTGTTTATAGTCATAATTTTTTTATGTCGAATTTTGTTGTAATTTGTTGTTATGTGAAATCCGACAAAGGGGGGGGGGGGATCCAGGGTAAGCCAAGGTAAACCGCCTCGTTTCCACGTAGTCAGATACAAGCTTCACAGCCGTGACCGGAAATTTTTAGTTGGTTGGGAATATTTTTCTAATTAGCTGTACAAGGATTACTTGTAGTTTATGTGTGCGTACTTAATTACCCATAGAAGATACGTTGAATGAAACAGCCCTAACAACCAAAAAGTTGGTTGGATAAACATGTGTTTACGTAAATACCGGCGTGGCCTTATTGTGCATGTCAGGGCGAATTACCTCAATAAAACAAATTCTGTAACAGTTAATTAAGTTTTTAGCACAAATAATAATAAAACAAATCCCTTTTAACAGCTGGCATGCACTTTCTCCCGTGCATGCACTTATGTCGTTTAGAGGAATACAGTCCGTACTAAATATTATTATTCTTGGATCATCTGTAAGGACATCGCTCTTACGCCAGGTGAGCTGCACAACTAACTCTGATCGTTTTTATGTACGTAGAAATATTTGTGATCGTTGGACCTGATGGCGGATCGATGGATTCTCTTCAGCCTCCTGTTTATTTTTGGTAAGTAACCCAATACAATTCGTGACAATTTCCAATTTTTTTAAGGTAGGTAGCTATGTTGCTCGCACATGCTAATAGTTTCGGGTCGTATACAATTTAATTGCACATTGAATGAAAAACTTGACATATGTTTTCACATCATCTGCGTTTTTTGGTTGGGCGAAGAACCTTGAAATGAGGTTGTCGCCTATTTATTTTGTGGATTGTTCTAAAATAAAATGTAACAAACTAAAGAAATGCAATTTATGTACTGGCAGTACATTATTAAATTTAATCGTTTATTCTTTCAGTAAAACAATCTATTGCAAAAAAATGTGATTCTTGTTTTTTTTTTTATTACGTCATAGCTACTATTATTGGCCGGACTTATACTAGAGACAAATCACCCGTCTGGACGAATGATCCGTCTGTCTGAGTATGAACACACGACAAACTAACTAGACGAATGTGATGTGACATGAATATGTCAGACGAAACAAAATCGCGCGTTTAGAAAGTGCACGGGAATTGGGAAATGTCGTGAAAAGGGTGCACAAGAGCCGTGTTATGATGAATTTTTCGTAGTTCTCTGTTCTTTACCCCGTATTTATACTAACAGACGAATGATGCGTCAAGACGAACTACACATTCAAATTAGTCTAAATCGATGAACTATGCGCAAATTCGTGTTGACGGATGATCCATGTGTTTGCACGTGTTCACACAAAGACGAACGAGAAGACGAAGATATATCTGCTTTGCCGAGTTCGTCCGGATGGATGATCTGTGTGTTTGCCGTCTTTACACACAGACGAACTGGAACTTTCGCTTAATTGCCCAAGTTCGTCTGGAAGGATGATTCGTCGCTAGTAGAAATCGGGCCATTCAATCACCTAACTCAAAGATATGATATTCCACATTCATTCATTTTTTTTATAGCAATACTAACCTGGCGGATTGATGCAGTAATTGAAGATTGGGAGGAGAGGTTTCAGGTGGAACAATCGTGGGATGTTACGAACCTTAAAGGTAAGAATCATTCTTGTTTTTTTATCTATGACTGGATATGCCCTGTAGTTGAAATATTACGTTGTCTTTTCTTAAAAATTATTGTAAGAGAAGGCTGTTAATGAAGTAAATAAGGGCTGTTTTCAAATGAGTGAATTTTTTTTCGCTCGAAGCGGAACTTTTCATTGTTTGCGCGCTTTCATGCATATCTCATGTGAGAAAAACGATGAAGAATTCCGCCTAGTGGAAAACAGATATAAACAGTATGAGGAGAAATTGATGAAACATAAGTTACAACAGAATGTAAAAATACGGTTGTATCTCTAGTGAGGCGATATAAAATTCAGAGATATGAAGACAATAAAAGGATTATTATTTAAATCACAAGAGTTATTGGTAATGGTTTATTACATGCACTGAATAGCTATTAAGCTAAAATAGTTTAAAAAAGTTATAAGATTCTATACATATTTTATCGTTATTGTATGAAATTAAAAGATTATAAAAGTTTGTAAGTTTACGATAAAAGGTTGAAAATTAAAAAAATTCTACATTATTTACAATCGATAATATGCAGTATCATTACGAAGATGCTAAAAATTGGGCCACTAATGGTTCCTCTTGTGCTCTAAGTGTTTATCATCAAATCCTCCAAACTAGAATCATATTTTTGGATGGGATAAAAAGGCGGACTATGTTACGTATATTGCTTCCAGAAGGTTTGCAGTATCAGTCAAACGATTTTCACAGCATAGCATATTCGTAATGGTGATAAGTATTAAGTAATGTAAGCCATGGCTGTGTAAAAAAGGTTTTAAAAAAGAGATCGAAGTGAGATTGCCACAATTTTTTTAATTAGATGTAAATCAAGAGGACGAATCAAGTGATCAGTTGTTTGCACTTCGTGAACAACCGGTGACAAAACTCTGCGTGAGAAAGGAGACTGTGGAGGCCTCACAAAGTGGAAGTTCCAATGGAAGTGGAAATACCAATGGAACTGGAAGTGGTAGTGCCAGTGGAAGCACGCCAGGTATGGGCGGAGCCGAAATTTTTCATAGTGTATTTGCAGGAATATTGAAATGATTAACAGAGATAAAATAATTAATTACCGCATCTCCTGGAGTAAGGTAAAAGTTGAGGAGGTTGTAATCGTTCTTTTATTCTTTGCTTTTTTAAGCCTAATTTAACATAAATTGTATGTGGTTACACAAAGGCGGTTTGCGAGATTGATTATTATAGTGATAAGCAAGTTTATTCGAACATGATTTTACTCTATCATACCCAATAGACGTTAAAGCGAAATCTCATTCTTTAGATTTTGTTAATGTTTTTGTGTCTGAATTTTTTCAAAAGGGTAAACGTCATTTTACGCTAATCTTTCTACCCCCATCAAAAAGTTCATGCTCACCCCAGGAATTCTTGCGTATTTGGCTTGCGTTAGATGGCGTCACACTGTCGAAAAGTTACAGACGCAAAATACAATTAAGAGTTAACGGTTTTCCACTAGGCGGAATTTTTAAACCGAAAAATATTTTCCGTCTGATATTCTTTTCAATTGTAAGAATTCGACCATAGCAGATTCCCTTCACCCGTCAGAATTGAAAAGAGAATCAGCGTGTTGTCATAGTTTGCATTAAACTATGCATGCTATGGCCATGGTCAGAAAGAATTTGTTCATTTTCCCATGCTTCAACATTAATAATAGATAATTCAGAATGATTCAGAACTTCAGGGTGTAAAGTTGTTGTGGTTGTTGCTTTAGTATAATTCTGGATTATTATTACTTTAAACAAATCAAACGCTGCAATACTCCCAGATATCAGGGATCTAGCTAATACAAAGTTTTGTTGTCGTAATTTCAAGAAGCGAACATTTTTCAGATACAGATAACGTCGTATACGTTTGTGATTGTCCAGATGGGTATAAAGCAAATGGATCAAATTGCACAGGCAAGGGTTGATAATTTGCATTTTTGCAATTGGCGTATTTTCAGATCGATTTTTATAGGAATTAAAACAAAAATAAATTATTGTAAGTTACACATTTGGGAATTTCCCATTCCGGGTATTTCCGAGTTAAACGAAAAATACACTAAATTAATTGATGTTTTACCCAAAAATTACTTCAACTGTTGCAGATATCAATGAATGCATGCAATCGCCTTGTGGTGCCAACGCCAACTGTACAAACATACAAGGTTCATTCTCATGCGAATGCCGAGTAGGGTATGAAGGAAATGGGACAAATTGCATAGGTAAGAAAGTTTAATTTTATTTTACCGAAAAAATACTTTTAGAACCAGTGTCATTGAATTGATTAGTCGCCGGAACAACCGCCGGCATTGCCATTAAATCTAAAAATCCAAAAGAATCACATCTGGTGGGTTGTAAAAAATTAATGTTCTCTGCAAATTTGTAACTATGAAATATCATCTATATTGTATTCAGGTATTTTTAATTCAAAATTGTTATGAGGAAATTTTGACAAATGCGGGATCACTCACGTGCTGGGGCCGGTTGTTCGAAAGGCGTTTAGCTCAAACGGTGGATATGAACCAAAGTTTAAAAACACTCTTATACGTCTTGTGAATGACTGAAACTGAATCCTATGCATTAAATTTGTTCTTATATTAAAAATTAAACTTTTATACATCGAAATATTTCAGCACAGTTGTTCAATAAAATTAATACTGATAATTTTGTTTCCATTTTGAACTTATCAACCGTTTAAGCAACATTGCGCGTATAGATCATTGCGCGAATACAGATCATTGCCCCGATCATTGCGTGACTATAGAGGAGGACACATGTAAACTAAGCCTTGCGGAATGAAAAAATAAAAATGCTACGACTGCCACTTCAGATGTTGACGAATGCCAAACATCTCCTCCATGTCATTCCAATGCTACGTGCGGTAACACAGATGGATCTTATATTATGGGCGCGTTGACACGTCGTAGTTTGCACAGGATTGAAGATTGTGCTTCTGAATTTCGCGATCGAACATTTGGGTTCGCAAGGCATCTAAATGCGAATATGAACGGTATTGTTTATGTTCAAAAGCTCTATATATTAAAGACTGGCACGTGCGCCGGAGTTAACGCCAGAACAGGAGTCTTGTTTTATTTGATAACTATTTAATATACGATGATAATAACTATTTAAGATACGATGTGCTTCTGAATTTCGCGATCGAACATTTAGGTTCGCAAGGCATCTAAATGCGAATATGAATGGTATTATTTATGTTCAGAAGCTCTATATTAAAGACTGGCACGTGCGCCGGAGTTAACGCCAGAACAGGAGTCTTGTTTTATTTAATAACTATTTAATTACTATTGTATTTTTCAAAACCAGCTTTTGCCAGAGTCAAAAATATTATTTTTGAAACTGAACTATTATTTGTAGATATAGACGTCGCAATTATTGACGACAAGAATTTGTAAATTTTACATCATAATTACAAATACAGGAATTATTATTCATTACTACATAATTATACAATCTCCGTTTTAATTGTTTAGCAGCCTGCTTTGGTAGCAAACTACTAATTCCTTGTGTCTGTAATTATTACGTGAAATTTACAAATAATTCCTTGTATTCTGTAATTATGTCGTCATATTTGCAAATAATAGTTTCTGCAATTGTTGACGCCACGTTTTGAAGAAATCAATAATAATAATAATTATGAAATCAAATATTTATCACCACTCTTTGATCACTATTTCAGTTAGTTGAGTTGAATAATAAAATAAGGTATTGAATTCGGTTTTCACGTGATACTAGGAATTGTCAACGCCTCGGTTGCATTCATTGGCGTAACTACAGGGTGTATAAAAAAAAGTAGACAATTTTGAAATGTTTAGAAAACTATAAGTTTATCAAAATATCTCATAGATTTGTGCTAGTATGGGTACTTTGGCATCTTCAGGTCATTCTAACACTAAAAACAAACAGAAAAATTAACCTCGAAAAATGGAAGAGCGGTTTGTGGAAGCATCATTTTGAATGGCTTGTGCGAACATGAATGAGAGGTTTAGAATCCAATTTGAATTCAAGGGCTGAACGTTTGGGTATTTGTTTACAAAGAATCGAAATTTCAGAAATTTTGATGAAAATTAAGTCAGCCGCGCAACTGCGTAGACGTGGGCTTTTTTCCGTTTAACTCGCAGCTTGAGTAACTTTTTTCACAACACCATTGTTAGCTTAATCACCCGAGCAATCACTCATGCATGAAATCATTCGTGCATGAAAAAAGTTACTCAAACTGCGAGTTAAACGGAAAAAAGCCCACGTCTACGCAGTTGCGCGGCTGACTTAATTTTCATCAAAATTTCTGAAATTTCGATTCTTTGTAAACAATTACCCAAACGTTCAGCCCTTGAATTCAAATTGGATTTTAAACTTCTCATTCATGTTTGCACAAGCCATTCAAAATGATGCTTACACAAACCGCTCTTCCATTTTTCGAGGTTAATTTTTCTGTTTGTTTTTAGTGTTAGAATGACCTGAAGATGGTAAAGTACCCATACTAGCATAAATCTATGACATATTTTGATAAGTTTATAGTTTTCTTAACATTTCAAAATTGTCTACTTTTTTTGATACACCCTGTAGAACGATATTTGGGGAGGGAGTGTTTATTCATATATTCAGTTTCGCTCGACTGATTTCTTTTGTAAGTGCAATACCGCTTAGAATAAAATCCGTTTGGCTTGAGTAAACACCCCCCTGATAATATAATAGAATTTCAATTCAACAAATTTTATCGATTAATAAATAGCGATTTTTATTCCCTATCGGCAACAGTGTAATAACGACTCCCAAGATTTGAGCATTAATCGGACCGCCTTAGCCAATAAAATTGCATTATTTGCCAATGATTGCAAATAATATGCAAACAAATAATAGAAAATTGACTGCTGTTTCAGAAATTGACGAATGCCAATCTCCCTCATGTCATTCCAATGCTACGTGCAATAACACAGATGGATCTTATATTTGCACATGTAATTCTGGATATACTGGAAACGGATTTAACTGCACAGGTTAGACTACAGAAATAATATTTTTACCAGATCTTTGAGAAGAAATTGGTAAATAGAAATATCATTTCAGATATAAACGAATGCCAAACTGATTTTCCATGCTATACCAATGCTACGTGCAATAACACAGATGGATCTTATATCTGCACGTGTGATTCTGGATATACTGGAGATGGATTTAACTGCACAGGTAGGGCTACGTGAAAATTAATTTTATGAAGTCTTTGAGAAGAACGTAAATGCAAAATAATCTTTCTAAAATTTCCACGTCAGATGTCGACGAATGCCAAGGATCCCCCCTTATTTGGCCATGTCATTCCAATTCTACGTGCAGTAACGCAGATGGGTCTTATATCTGTACATGTGATTCTGGATATAGTGGTGATGGCATTAACTGCACAGGTACGACAATGTAATTAATTCAATTTACTGAATTTTTTTTAAGAAACTAGTTAAATATAAAAGCATGTTTACTGGAACGAATTTTTCAGATGTTGACGAATGCCTAACATCTCCACCATGTCATTCCAATGCTACGTGCAATAACACAGATGGATCTTACTCTTGCACATGTGATTCTGGATATACTGGAGATGGATTTAACTGCACAGGTAGGACAACGTAAACAATTTAATTTACTATATGTTTCGGGAGGATTCTGTGGAAATATAAAAAAGTTTATCGAAACTAAGTACCTTGAAAAATTTAATTACTAAAACTGCCATTTCAGATGTTGACGAATGCCAAACATCTCCCCCTTGCCATTCCAATGCTACGTGCAATAACACAGACGGGTCTTATATCTGCACATGTGATTCTGGATATACTGGAGATGGATTTAACTGCACAGGTTAGACAACGTTATATCAATTGGAAATATAAAATCCTTTCCTGAGACTATACAATTTCAGATATTGACGAATGCGTAACATCTGCCCCGTGTCATTCCAATGCTACGTGCAATAACACAGATGGATCTTATATCTGCACATGTGATTCTGGATATACTGGAGATGGATTTTCCTGCATAGGTAAGAAAACGTTGTTAATTTAATCTACTAAATCGTTTGAAAAAAACCAGTGAACATTTTACAATGTTTACTCAAACGGACATTTCAGATGTTGACGAATTCCAAATATCTCCCCCATAACACCGAAGGATCTTATATTATACAAATAATGAATGTTTATGAGTGCAATGGTAAAAATGGTAAAAATGTATAGTACAATTGCACTCTGGAGAGTGCAATGGAACGCTTTCCATTGCACTCTTGGGAAATGAGACTTTCTATTCAATATCACGTGATCGTCATCAACCAATTAAACGCTCTAAATTTAATGGGGTATTATACAATAGCACCTATCATTCTGGCTATAGTGGAGATGGATTCAAGAATTAATATATTGTACGAAAAATTTTTTTTTACATAGTAGTTATTTCAAGTCCATTCTGTGAAAATAGAAAAGGTTTCCTGAAATTACCATTTCAGATATTGGCGAATGCCAGATATCTTCTCCTTGTCATTCCAATGCTACGTGCAGTAACACAGATGGATCTTATATTTGCACATGTGATTTTGGATATATTGGAGATGGATTTAACTGCACAGGTGAGACAGCGGAATTGTTTTTTACCAGGTATTTGAAAATAAAACAATAAATAAAATGTGTAAATTGCCAAATCTACCATTTAGATGTTGACGAATGCGTAACATCTCCCCCATGTCATTCCAATGCTATGTGCAATAACACAGATGGATCTTATATTTGCACATGTGATTTTGGATATACTGGAGATGGAATTAATTGCACAGGTAAGAAAAGTAGATATTTTTTTCCCGAAATTTGAGCAGTGAAACAGTAAATGGAATTATGAAAGTAGTAAAAAATACCATTTCAGATGTTGACGAATGCCAAACATCACCCTCGTGTCATTCGAATGCTACGTGCAATAACACAGATGGATCTTATATTTGCACATGTGATTCTGGATATACAGGAGATGGATTTAACTGCACAGGTAAACAGCGTAAACAATTTAATCTCCTATAATATGTTTCGAAAGGACCAGTGAAATTTAAAAACGTTTGTCCAAACTACCTTTTCAGATATTAACGAATGCCAAATATCCTTTCCTTGTCACCCTGACGCAACCTGCATTAACACAGATGGGTCTTATATCTGCAGATGTGATTCTGGATATAGTGGAGACGGATTTAACTGCACAGGTAAGAACGTAGTTAACTTAATTTACTGAATGTTTTGAAAGAAACCGATGAAATTATAAGTATGTATACTCGAATGGACATTTTAGATGTTGACAAATGCCAAACATCTCCCCCATGTCATTTCAATGCTACGTGCAAAAACACAGATGGGTCTTATATCTGTACATGTTATTCTGGATATAGTGGCAACGGCTTTTACTGCACAGGTAGAACGAAGTAAAATCATAATTTTTGTAGGACGTTTTTCAGTGGAAATAGTGGAAATAGTGGAAATAATAAAATGCAATTGCTGAAACTGCTGTATGAGATGTAAACAAATACCAAGCAAAATGGTGTCATCCTAACGCGGCGTGCAAGAACACATGCACACGAATCTTTCATTTGCCCGTGTGATTCTGGATATCGTGGAAAAAAAAATTCCCATGTCACTCGCGTGCTTCGTGTGGTAACACGAATAGATCTATATAATTTATCTGGATTATTAATGTTGAATTTAACAGCAGTGGTATGACTATACATATGCTATTTAATTATATCTTAAAATTGAGCAAAAATATAGAATTCTCGAATATGATTTTCGATGTAAGTTATTTTTGTGCCATTCTGGTTTAATATCTGTGCGTACTGTGTGTTTCAAGATATAATGTAAATTACTTAAGGGTTTAACCTCTAGTATATTTCATCTAATATTTCATTATTTTACGCTTGATATGGAATGTTTCCTATATAACATGACCGCTACATTTAGCTTAATTAAAAAGAAGCTAATTTCCCAGGATATCACTCATATCAAATCAGATAATTATAATCAGAAGAGATAAAAAATGTTAAATGCTAATCTTTTGAAGCGTAGCGGTGTAGCCAGCGAGGCAACTCGCTTTGACAATTAATGCAAATTTGAAATTAGCTATTGTTTCCGCAGATAACACAAAAACATAAAAATAACCACAATAATGTCTATGACCGGGCTTGCCAGATTACTACGGAATAAACAAGGCCCTGTGATGATTAGGCTTGATGAGTTGTGTCATATCATTATCTATTGTTTGGATTCGACGCGACTAAAATGCGACGGCCTAACTTGAATACGTTTTTCGCCCGCTGTTTCCATTGCTAGTAGATACACCTTTCATGCCTCGCGCCATATTCTATCTAATCTCTGGTCATGCAATTTGTTTTCACTACGCGGGTGATTAATAAATCCACCACGAGTACTCTGTCGACAACATTATAAATAAATGAGACTATTTTATATTAGATATCAACGAATGCCAAACAGATTCTCCATGTCATTCCAATGCTACGTGCAATAACACAGATGGATCCTACACCTGCACATGTGATTCTGGGTATACTGGAGAGGGCTTTAATTGTACAGGTGAGACATGTACAACACCAGTTTTAGGGTTTTCCAAACTACCATTTAATTAGCCATTTCGCAATCGAGCAGAGTACTGGTCCCTCCAAACTGTCCATAGATATTTTGCGGTTCACGACTCAACCCAGTACCCTGCTCAATTGGGAAATGGCTAATTTTTATCTCAGTTAGTTGCAAAATGCTAAAATATAATATAACTAGAAATACATGAATGCAGCAACCCCTCGCCTCGGTTAAACGAAATTAGTTAAGCGTAGGGATGGTAACAAGATTGTTAGAAAATTTATGTGGGTTGGGGGTTTTGAAGGGTACATGGTATGCGAAAAATAGAAATTGAGAAAAGTATGGAAATATTTTTCTGCACGTGGAAGCACTGTAGTCATAGCAACTCGCAACGGCCGTATATTTTTAAAGAATCAAAGTTTACCCTCATATTTTTGTGAAAAAAATGGTAAAAATACGACAAGATTCTTACCTTTTTCTGGAAGTTAAGTTACTCATCTATATATCAGTGTTATGGTTAATTATTTTAATTATTAAATGCCATGAAATATAACATCAGACGTCTCATATAACTTCCGAGGTTTTATGTTACGCTTCGATTGGCTTTTGCACGGGAATGTTTTGATTTTATTTTCTTTTTGTGATTATGAAAACAGAGTTTATAAATGAAATTATAATGTCGTTTATCACATAACACATTCAGATTTATAGTGAAATACATTTGAGAACATTAAAGTTGTGTTTACCACAAAAGAATTACTTTTTAAAGCTGTGTCGGATGAAATATTATCAAGTGTAAAATCCTCCGACTTCATTATACACGGTGAATTCGGTTGAAAATTTGGTCTTGTTATTTGTTAAACCGTGAAAAGTTCTGACCTCATTCGAGTTTCCCTCTAATTTAGTAAAAATACATATATTCTATATTTATGAAAATATAAATTTGTAAATTTCATAAAAATTTTGCTAAATGACCGTTATTCATTGACGTTTGAAAATACAAATTTTTGTCTCGACCAATCAAGAGCTTAGTAGTTCACACTGGCGCATGCGCATGACGTAGAAGACCGTCCATGGCGTGAGGTCCATTGCATAATGGCGGCCGACTTTGATTTCGCATTTGCATATCGTGGGTGTAAATATCCGAGCGGAATTAGTACCCTCACACGGTGCTCCGCATCGGCTCGGGGATTATGTCAATAAACCATTACAATTACAACCTTATTATAAAATTAAAAAAGGCTAAATGTATAATGGCTTATAGTAATTGTGTGTATGACTCAGATGTATTAATATAATTGGTACTCTGAGTTACGAACCAGGCGATTTTTTAAAAATCATGGAACTTCACGTTTGTCGGAATCCAACGTTTGGAAGAGATACGACATTTCGTAATATGTTATATTTTTGAAAATATGAATATCAAATATTTAAACCGCGTTGATTTTGCACCTTATTTGGAAAGTATTGGAACATAGATTCTCCTGTCTTTCCTGCAAATACATATTAGGATATTTTATTCTTACACGTGATTCTGGATTTGAATGTATAATGTTTCATGATGATAAAATTACCAATCGATCATTTTAGATGTAAATGAATGTGAAATATCTTTCCAATGCCATTCCAATGCAACGTGCAATAACACAAAAGGATCATACATCTGCAAATGTAATCCAGGGTATAGTGGAGATGGATTCACCTGCATTGGTAAGACTATTCAAATAATATAACATTTTTGTTAGTGTAAGGCATGCTGTAAATGTAATGAAGTATTACATTTTTAATTTACTAATAATTTTAGATGTTGACGAATGCCAAACAAGTTCATTTTGTGATTCTAATGCGACGTGCAATAACACATTCGGGTCCTACATCTGCAGATGCAATATTGGATATACCGGAAATGGGTATTTCTGCGCTGGTAGGATTTCTCAGGAAATTTCTCGCATACTATTACAACGAATTGTTTATAAAAAATCAAACTATATTCTTCCTAGATTTGGACGAATGCCAGTCAGAATCTCCTTGCCATTTTAATGCCAGATGCCATAATACAGATTCCTCTTACATTTGCACGTGTAAATCGGGATATAGTGGAGACGGATTTTCTTGTACTGGTATGACTATACAAATAATTTAGATTCTCGAAAGTGCGTTAACCGAAGGGAAACGAAATGTTGATGATTTTACTATTTCAGATGTGCACGAATGCCTAACATCTTCCCCATGTCATTCCAATGCTACGTGCAACAACACAGATGGTTCTTATATTTGCACATGTGATTCTGGATACAATGGGGATGGATTTAACTGCGCTGGTAAGTTGACGCCTTTTACTATAATTCCACATGTTTTCATGAATTCTACATTCCAATATTTTTTCGATACAACCACTGCTGTTTGTAACCGATTCGCATATCTTTTCAAACTATTTTGTATGGAGTATACATGGAGTGTGCATATGACCTAATCCACCTTTCCGACACTCTCAATCACGTGACCCTGCACGTGTTAAAAACAACAGCGACTCGGACAAACAAATCGGACAAATCGTATAGATTAGTATAACGCGCGCGTTAAATCGGTGAAGAAAAATATAATATTTTGTGTTTGTGTTTGCGAAAGAAGAAAGAAATCGCGGAAATAGTCGGAAAGGATCTTGTGTGATTGTACATTGTAGAGAGGCTGTTATATTATAAGCTGAAAAACGTCTTAAAATCAGGGACGGCTGTGATTATTAATATAAAATCATGGTGAAAAGATGTGCTTGGGGTACTTGCAACACGGATTCTCGTTATCCCGAAAGGTTGATTAAAGACGGAATACCTGTAACGTTTCACCATTTTCCTTCGGAAAAGAAATTTAAGGAAAGGAGAGATGCGTGGATCCGTGCTTGTTGTCGTGCGGATACGTTTGTTTGTTCGAAGGACAGCTACATATGTAGCTTACATTTTGTTGAGAAGACAGGGCCAACAGACAAATACCCTGATCCCATTCCAGCCACGGCAACCAGGGACAAGGTTTGTAATTTGTAATTTTTGTAATCTTACGTTGTACTAATGTACTTGAATCTAAGAGCTATTTAAAAATTTTGCGTGTACGTGCATAAATTTAATCCCAAAATAAAATGCAAATGAGAAGCGTTGGTAAATCATGCATTATGGTATTAGAATATCGGTGTACGTTTATAGATTAAACGTCTTCGCAAAAAAAGAAAATCACCGACTAAGAGATTGGGCTATGGGAAAAGATTTAGGACAGAATCGGACGTATTAGCTGCTGAGTCAATGTTGGTCCTTTCATCTGAGGAAAAGTCGACTGGCAGAGATGAAGCTGTCGATGCCTTACTATCCTTGTCAGCTAGTATACCAGAGGGTTTGGTAACAACAGCACAAGATTCTGTTCATGAGGAGCAGGAATCATCAAGTGAAAAAGAGGAAAAGAATATTAGACCGTTAGACTGTGCAACCCAAGTAAGCTGGTGACTTTCACTGTTAAATTTCACTGTTAATTTATATATTATTTGTTATTGTATGTTACATAATATTTTATAGTCCATTTTTAACTTGGTAATTTTTCCCTCATAGACTAATGTTACATTGGACCATATGAAGGCTTTCACTGATAGCCAGATGATATCTCATCCAAAAATGTCCAGACATTTATTCATGCAAAACGTAGAAAATCCTAAGAACACAATGCACTATACAGGTTTGTTCAAAATTATAACTTTTCAATAACCTTATATGAAGGAAGAATAATAATTTGTCATTTTCTAATATTTATTGTTATATATTCAAGGCTTGAATATAAAAGTTCTTCATGCACTTCATGATCTGGTCAAAGACAAATCAGAGAGAATGCACATGTGGAAAGGGGTTAAAAAAACAAATGATAATGATCTTGATGAGCATTACCTCAAGGTTAGTGGCCATGGTAAAAATTGTATTGCTAATACATTTAAACTAGCCAGAGCAATTTCATAATGATCAAATTTATTTTTCAGCAAAAATGTAACCTCGCAGCACTGTCATCATGGGAACAACTGGTGTTAACAATGGTTAGATTACGTCGTAATTTAACAATTACTGTTCTGGCAAATTGTTTTGGAATTTCAAACTCAAGTGCAAGCAGAATCATCACTAGCTGGATTTTGTTTTTGGTAAAAGAACTTGAATTTTTAGTGGATTTCCAACCGGTATCTCAGTTATCTGGGATAACACTTCCTGAAGCTTTCAGGGGAATTCCTAACTTAAGAGGCATAATTGATTGCACAGAATTTTATGTTGAAACACCACATCGTTTGCCTAGCCAGAGGAGCACATATAGCAGCTACAAATCAAGGAATACTTTCAAATTGTTGATTTCAATTTCTCCAATTGCACACATCAATTTTGTGTCCAATCTGTTCTCTGGCAGTATAAGTGACAAAGAGATTGTAAGACAAAGTGGCTTTTTGGAAGCATTGGAACCTGGTGATGCTATTATGGCTGACAAGGGATTCAATGTGCAAGATCTATTTGCTCTTCGTGAGACAAAATTGATTGCCCCACCAATAATGAGAAAGGGTGTAGCATCTTCAGAAGCCTCCACAATGACCAGAAGAATTGCAGCATCTAGGATTCATGTTGAGAGAGTAATCAGAAAATTGAAATGCTTTGGTATTTTAAGAGGTATCATGCCATTGACATTGAAACCTTATGCAAGTTCAATTGTCAAATTGTGTTCAGCTATTGTAAATTTACAACAAAGCGCTATTAAAATTTAGTACTTTTATTCTTCATATGCTTCATGTGTATTTCATTTTATACTTTTTCAACAATAAAAGAGACTCCAAATGCTTTTTTAACATAGTACGCTTATCTTCAGCTTCTTCTGGCTCAAACCATCTATGCTGAAGAGAGCAATAGCCTTCTGGCTCAGATTCATACTCATCCAACTCCTTAATTCAAGGAAAAAAGTAGTTTAGTTATTGCAAACTTATATCCAGTAGATTAAAGTTGCAAAAAGTTGCAATATACCTGCAGAAAATACTTTAAGAAAAGTGATATGTAAATGCCACAGTTGTTGCTGTTTAGTGGTTGCTGTGGTACCTGTAAAATTAGTATGATGCTTTAATATTGATGTATCATGTAATTCATCAAAATTACCTCAAACAAAACTGTTCATAACTTGATAGTATAAGAGACTTATTAAGATATTAAGTGTATTGAATGCTATAACTGATACCTTCAATGCTTTGCAGGAAAGATTCGAATACTTTTGCTTCACACCAAATTTTCTTGAAATGTGTTCCAGGAAGCTTAAAAAGAACATATAAAATTTCCAAAGTTGGCAAATACTTTATTAATTAATAGAAATTCACATACATGTACATATTTTAAAGGCATGAACTATGCATTATATATGATATGAAGTAACAAACCTAATGATGTTAGTAGACTCAGTATTCCTCAAGTTATCATCCCATGTTAATGAGTCCATGACCAAAAGATGCCAAGGCGTGATCACAACTAATAGCCAATGTTTGCTAGGAAAGTTTGATGTACTCATTAAAAATTAAATTATAAATTACATTATAAAATTTAAATTCATTAAATGATACATTACCTTCTATTAATAGGAATAACTAGGTATTCATCATTGATCAGTCTTGGTGGAAAAAACATCTCTCCTTTTATATTTCGTTCAATTCTAGAAAATTACACAAGAATGTTGCATATATACGTTATGTCAGAATTTATATGTGTATATATTTAAATTTGTGCTCAACATTGGCATTACTAACCGTGACAATTTATTATTTCCTTCTTGTTCCCCACATAGAACAGTGTAGAAAAAAGTGCTCATTATTTCAAATTGGCAGCTTAAATCCCTGATAAACAAAATGCTACGTAAGAATTCTATTAAAATCATAATGAAATGGCTCAAGACGTAAATTTACTTACTCCAATAAAACTGATACAATGTTGTCATTCAAAAGTCCTTGGGGTTTCAAAGTTTCAATGCAAGCTTCATAGACATCAACACCATTACATCGAATAGATAATTGGTCATGCTCTTCATTATTGTGCTTATCAGTTTCATCATCATTGTTATGTTGGAGGTTGATGGGATTAGTTTGTGGAACAATATTGGTTGCAGGAACACCATCATTATATGTTGTATTCTCAACATCCATTTCTTCTAAAAAATGTTTAATATAATAAATTTCAAGCACTCTAAAAAGGACCATAGAAAAGACAATGATAATCTATTGTAGATTATTTATTTGAATACAATGTATGGTACCTGTTTGTAGGTGAACATTTGGGAGTTGTTGCTTGAGTAAACATGGTAAAACATGGTTTATCCAAAACTTCTCCAGCTTTAGAAGCACATGTTTTGTATAATTTGCATTATATGGCACCCTCACAATCCAAATACCTTTGTTAGTCCATACAACAAAGTCACAGTTTTCCAACTCCGCAACAAACATTTGAATTTGAATTTGGCAATAATATCTGCTTGATTCTTTCAATACTAAATCACTTTTGATCTTTTCTCCACCAATTTCAGGAGTAAGAAAAGCTTCTTTAGGAGTAATATTCTGGTGCTTCCAAGGACATTTATACTCCACAACGACATCAGGGCAGTTATCAGCGCAGCCACATGACCGAATGTTATCCAAACTGGCACCTATATAAGGTTTCTTCTTTGATAACAACAGACCTTTGGAAACTAGGGACAACTTACAGTGGTTTTTAGATTCCACCTTATGATAGCTCTGGCGGGCACTTTCTTCATGCTTTAAACCCCAACCTCTGGGGTCTGATGGTGCTTCTTCTGTGGTATTGGCAGCTTTTGCAGTGGTTAATGCTTTGAGTAAAGATAAACATCTCTTTGTTTGCCTTTATCCAGGCTGTTTTGCATGGTAAAAACTCTATATGCAGTGGATCCAGAAATGAGGCCCATCTTCTGTTTATACCATTCATTGCATGTCGATTGCCCTAAGGTTAACTCATTTACTAAGTTGATCTCCTCCTGGCTGTGTGTTAAATTGCTCAGAACATCTTCAGCTGCAGCTTTGGTAAAAAATTCTTGGCCTGATTGTTCAAACAGTTTAATAAGTTTTTCATTTATAATTCCATTTCCTGAAGAAAGTTCATTGGGTTTAGGCACACATTCAATGGAATTAGTTTCATTCTCGTTTCTAGGTTCCTTTTCTTCAGCTGAATGTTTATCTTTTTCACCATAAAGCTTAGAAAGTAATGGTAGAATAGCTGAGTTGCACCCACTACTCTCTAATGAATGTGTAAACTGTTTTAGAGCCTCGTTTGTTGGACAAACTTGGTCGTGTTCGTTTCTTAAATCGGTATTTATATGTTCAATATAAACATGTTCTCGCTTGGGCTTTTTTAAAGGAAGATCACAATGTGAAATCTGCAAGTCTTTAACATCACAAGGCTTGCTATCAACAGTTGGCTTCTTGGTCCAAACACATGGCATACTTGTTGGGCTGTCCTTATCGCGTGTATTCAGTAAATCATCCAAAGAATACATGGCTGCAGCAATATGCTTGCAGCCACCATCGCGACCTCCCTTACACCGGCATCGGGCTTTCAGAACACTCCCTCTGTTTGCTCCTTTACCTTCAAGTATAAACCAGCAATCGTAGAAAGGTTTTCCTTCATCTGTCTTATCTTTCATAGCTGGCTTAACTTTACCCATATACAGGTGAAGTCTTTCATTTACCAAAGTCTCGGTCAACAGTGATTCGACATATCCGTCCTGGAAAAGACGATATTCGTCGAACGATTTATATGCCGCCAATCCTTGTTTATCGTATTCAGTTGAATGATAAATAAGATAGTTGAAAATATCATACAACCCAAACGGCGGCGAGTCTGCGAAGTTGTTTGCCAGGTTTTTATGAGATGTGAAAGGGTTATCGATTTCCATTTCGTTGATGTAAAACCTCTCGTTGTCCAAGGTTTCTTTTTCTTCGAAACTGCGACTTAATGGAATCATCATTTTGTTTACGGCAGTCGCTATTTCCACTAATGCAGGTTTTAGGTATCCACTCACACTAACACCGCGATTTTGCAGATACTCTTTTAGCTGTACAACACTCATATCCTTGAAGTTTTTCGGCCCGGAGTCATTAGAAGACATATTTCTACCTATTTCCGCGATTTCTTTCTTCTTTCGCAAACACAAACACAAAATATTATATTTTTCTTCACCGATTTAACGCGCGCGTTATGCTAATCTATACGATTTGTCCGATTTGTTTGTCCGAGTCGCTGTTGTTTTTAACACGTGCAGGGTCACGTGATTGAGAGTGTCGGAAAGGTGGATTCACGATAGATTGGTGGTGTGTATTATAATACGTTAAATAAAATATTGTTGAAAAAAAAATGTTTTGTCATCTCCATTATCCAACACGATTATGGTCCTCTTGCGAAGTGGCCTTCGATAAAGTTATACAGGCTCCAAAAGTCTTTCCTGTATACTCATTTTGAACGTTTTTAGATATTGACGAATGTGTGGAAGATGGACCGTGTGGCTTCAACACAATATGTACAAATACTGATGGATCATACCGATGTGATTGTCAAACTGGTTATGGGGGAACTGGAATAAATTGCACGGGTAGGAGTTGTGCGTATACGTGTATATATATGTAGCTATTTCTATATTTAAAAAGCTTTTTTGGGAAAGATTGTTTGCTGTTTCTGGTCGGGTATGGGTTTCACTTTGTTTGTGCAAACGTCCATACATAAGCATTCTTTTGGAAATCTGATGTAAGATTTCATTTAAATAGGGAAAATATTACTGGAGAACGAAATCTGAATGCTCGCACAAAGCCATTTTTAGAATCTCGGATAATTAAAACACACACACAAAAAAGCGCTATCGCGTGTTGGTATACTAACAGTTTTCTTGCTAAAAATATCCCAATAAAGGCCTTCTTTAATCGCGCACCCAATATAGAGTTATTATATCCGACTGAACACCGGGCATTAACTATAGCTATTTCATACCTGATATTTAACCTGTTTCAATAAATATTCCTTCCCAACTTTGTTCAATTCGATTTTGTTTTACATTGCAGATATTGATGAATGCATTTTAAGCCTTTGCGATGTGAATGCCAACTGCACAAACACAATTGGTTCACACCTGTGTGAATGTCATACCGGTTATGAAAAAAATGGAACAAGATGTACAGGTAAACCTAGAATAATTTTTGAGAGTTTGGAATTCCAATGTTGCTATATGTGCGAAGACGAAGTTATCAGAGCAATTTATAAGAGATGTGCCAAGTATATCAGTGTAAAAAAGGGTGATTATTTCTAACTTCAACAGATGTCAATGAATGTAAAGATTCTCCGTGTGATTTGAATGCAAACTGCAGTAACACTGTTGGTTCATATCTTTGTGAATGTAAAAACGGATATGATGGAAATGGAACTAATTGCACAGGTCTGAGTTGTGACTTCTCTTTTGGTAACTATTGACTGAGGTGGAGCTTGGTACTGATTGCACTATACCTAAATATAAATTACCCACCACAAAAACGTTTTAATGGTTAAGATGCGGAATCACTGACAATGTATGTGCGATATGTTTGAAAGTGCATAATATAAGAACGAATCTGAGCAAGTAGTGCAGAGACGTTACTAGGGCGGGGGATTAAATTTTGGGCCTCTCCTGAGAAATGAGGTGAATCATTGTTACGTCGTCAATAATACCAAAAATCTGTATGTGATCTTGCCCATCGAAATTGTCCAGCATTAATGTAAAAAAACCCTGCACAGAATGTTTTGCATGAACTTTGTTTCGATTCACACTGCCAGCCAGGATCCACCTAGATTTTTGAAAATGAAGTGAGCCGCCATTCTTAGTATATTACTGATTTTACAGATGTGAATGAATGTTTGGAAGCTCCATGTGGCTTTTATTCAATCTGTACAAACACTGAAGGATCGTACGTTTGTGGATGTCAAATTGGATATGAAAGAAATAGTGCGGAAAGTACGAATTGTGCAGGTAAAACTATGCACTTTCCTTTTTGAGAGTTTGCAGAAGAACCCTCTTTGTTTTCACATAGCATTTTTCCTTTACCTGCGTTTAACTTTATTCGTCTAAAAAAGGGCGTAAGTATATATTAATTGTATTGAATTTATGAATCATATAATATGAGGTACTTATTATTCTGAGAATAAGAAAAATTGAATAGAAAAATTTTATTTTTCTTCCTTCTTTATTTTTTCAGATGTTGATGAGTGTGCAATAGGCCTGTGTAGTTTAAATGCTAACTGCACAAACACGAATGGTTCATATTTTTGCGTATGCAAAAATGGTTATGAGGGAAATGGGAGAATCTGTTTAGGTAAAAACTCCGCTATCTCTATTCTGCGCTTATTTTCTTGTCTTCTCTTCGAAAAAGATGCAAATAAAATATGTAATATAAATGTATATATATTTATATTTTTATATTTTGTTATATTCACAAAGAAATCTCTTCACTTAAGAGTTTGCTATTATAGGTTATATAATAGCAAATTCCTAAGTCAATGAAAGCTTCCAAGAAATTTTTGGTACTTCAAGTAAAACATTTTTTATAGATTATAATTATTTATATAAAATAATGTATACAAAAGTACAACAAAAATGCATATTTTTACCATATAATTACAGGCAGCGTGCAAGTAAGTATTATTTATTCTTAAATCGCGTTTTCGTTCTCGTGGTGCTCACGCGTGTTACACGAGTCTACTCAGTCTCTTATTATGGCAAGGTTGGCGAGAATTTTTACTACGTTTTCCTGCTGAAGTGTTTTACGTACGACGATTTCAGTTTCCGGAGATGTATTTTCAACGATGGCTTTAAGTGAAGGTACAGCGATATTCTTCCGTCAAGTGCTTTGCCTTTGCCCTAAACTTGGGAAAATTTTACAAACAGCAAAACGTCACTGGCTTATAATCAATTTTGATAACTTGTTTACTATGCCATTTCCCCTTGTTATTGCTTAAACAGCTCTAAGGCCCTCGTATTTCACCATACTGTAGGCGAATCTTTGGCGATGCTGACATAACTTTACCAATAGATTCACTTGTTCCTTTACTCCAACATGAAAATGAGAAAAAAGAATGGCATATTTCTAGTCGAATCGACAATTTCTTCCTCATAACTTAGTAAAAACTTCTGCACCTAATCATCTGCAACATGTTGAATTTTGGCCTACCCACAGAATCCACAATTTTTGTAATCCTATTTACATTCGTTTGACGATTTTTTGTAGGTATCAACGTTTTATTACAATTGTGCAGCCGTGCACCAGTACCTGCGTCTTGTCAATTTTTTTGGGCGACAATAACACATGGATTTTTGATGGCTTAATTTGTTTTGCAGATAGTTGTGAGTGGCGTGTTGGGCATAAACACCACTGTCTCTGCTCGGTGCTGGTGAGATAATGAAATATTCAATAAATATAGTTCTAAATCTAAATCGAAATTTCTCGAACTGGCTGCGCTTGGGCGATTTATAATTCAAATTCCTCGTATAAACATGACATAGAGGAATTCTCACCACGTCCATTTTTAATTACATTCGTTTGAAGATTTTTTGTAGGTATCAACGTGTTATGACAATTGTGCAATCCTGCAGCAGTACCAACGTCTTGTCAATTTTTTGGCGCGACAATAACACATGTATTTTGCAGATAGTTGGGAATGGCGTGTTGGGCATAATTATTAATTATAAGCTTATTTATTTCCGTGAGTAAGGTATAGTCTATTTATATCGACTTCTTCTTAGAAAATTCCTCCCAGACATTGTGCCATTTTTTTCACAATGAATTGCCATTTTCCAAATTCTATTCCTGATGGAAAGACGGCAATTACACATTTTCGAATTTTATAGTTTTCGGTTGAAAACAGGCAACCACACTTGTGTAATAACTTAGTAATTATTAAAACTATTCGAGCGGCTTTTTGCCATTACAACTGTGCAAAAATGTAAACAGTAAGTATGGCATGCAAAGTATCCGAAGAATGTATTCAGTTTATCGGCATGATATCTTAAACACCGCTGTGTCTGCTCGGTGCTGGTGTGATAATGAAATATTCCATATAATTATATAGCTCTCAATCTAAATCGAAATTTCCCGAACTATACCTGCGCTTAGGCGATTTATACTTCCCAATAAATTATGTCGATATGTCGATAAATTATGTTCCTTATTTAATTTATTACTCGGAATATTTTGTGAGTAATTCCACTAAATGAATAGAGTGTATAATACAGTGCATGGTTTATTAAATAATATACCAAGGAAGTAAAATCAATCGGCAGGGTGCCTGCTATTGCTTTACATTAATCTGAAAATTATTGCTACCATTCTTCTATTCACAAGAAACACAACGAAGCTAAATCTCGAAGTGAAATTTTACTTTTGAAAGGTAACCTAAATATGAATGCTTTGCAAAAGTCATTTTCTAGGACAGACATTAGTTAGATATACGCCGCTATATACGTGCTTTAAAATAACTTATTTTGTTTAACGTTTGTTTGGCATACGCCAAGTTTATTTTAGTTAATGTCATGGATCATAATCATAAAACGATCATTTGATAGTTAAAAGTATCTATAAATTCCTTGTGCTATGACTTTGAAAACACTGTTTCAGTGTGTCGTAATGTTTGATTGCAAATAATATCGTAATGGACGACTCGCGTTTTAACTTCTTGCACCGGCGATAATAAGGGCACTTTCTGAAAGAGTATATAATTTATTAAGATTAGTGAAACTCCCAATTTTGGCTGCGAATTGTTGTAAATTACGGAAAATATAGCCATGCGGGGTTGACAAATTTTGTGTACCTTTGTATTACGGCCGGAAGTGTTATAACACATTCCCTCACGTAATACAAAAGTATAAAAAATTTGCCAACTTCGCATTGCTATATTTGCCGCAATTTTCATAATTTCGCGGCCAAACTTCGCATTTGCACTAATTTAAGTACGCTCTTTCTAGCTCTCGTGGTTTATTTCCCTCTTGTTACTCCTATTAAAATTTAGTCCTAAGCGCAAGTTGTCCTTTATCATAAAAAAAGTCTTATAGTCTGGAATTTTGGTTCTCGGCGAAGCTAATAGCCTAATATAGACACCTTATAGGATATAACAACACCAACTGTATGTAATGGCAACGGCTGGTGTACAATAATATTTATGTACCAGCACATAAGACTGAAATGAGTGTTACAAAGTTCAAGACGTATTGTATACAACGGCAAACCGAACATTCTAAAACGCCAACGCGTAACATGCCGCGATACGGAAGAATAATTGAATAAATTCCTTAACAAATCTGAAAACTTAGGCTTATATCATATAATGCAGCGTAAATTTATTGGAGTATCCGGATGGAACGATCCTATTCCTAATGGTTATACTTATACAAAATTATTTTTCAATAACAAAATTTGGAAATTTTTGAGTTTGAGGTAATTTCAATCAATAACTTTTAAGGTATTGAATAATAAACTGATATAATAATCTCTGGGCAATTTAGACATGTGTGCAGCTTCAGATCGTTTTTCTGCATGGTATATAAGACTTGGGGCCTAGCACTTTCCAGCTCAACCACAAGCATATAAATTTCTGGTTGTTTATTTTGTTTTTCCTAGAAGTGATCGATACTCCTTATGGGTAATCAATGGTTTCTTTACTTTCTTTTGTTCACTTTAGGTAAGTTACGTTAGACCACGCAAAGAATGGTTTAAGCATAATTGCATGCTTAAAAATCCCAAGTTGTCGAGCTCCAAATTAATTGGAGTCATGATACAAAATTATTAGAAATTGAACTAAGATCCGATAAATATTATTTGCACACCTGCCAAAGAATTTTCGTCTCTCGGTAGACGAGTTCTCGCATGAATTTTTCCAAGAGAAAGTGACTATCGCATGAATTGATGTGAAACAAACCGTTTAATTTACATCAGAAACTAAAACTGCTCTGGTTCATATATGCATGATCTATTACATATTGGCGGACAGCTATGAGCTTGCATTTTTAGTATATAAAGCCTGTTTTCCACTTGGCGGAATTTTGACACGCAGAACGGAATTTTTCATTGTTTTTCTCACAAAAGTTCTGCGTGAAAGTGCGCAGACAATAAAAAAGTCCGCTCCGCACGCAAAATTCCACCTAATGAAAAACCAGTATCAGAGCAGATTATCCATCGCCGGCCCAAGGCATCTCCATAACAATTTTGTCCGCATGCAAAGACAACAACCCAACCTTTCAACCACCACTAATCCTAAGAAGCAGCGCCGGATTAATTTTTCCAGATTCGATCAAGGACATATAGCTCACAAAAATATGAAAAAAATTGTTTGTATCTGCATGGAAGTGTCTGAACTCCCTATCACGATCAAGGTATTATTTCATCATCACGTTGATTATTAACCTTAGAAATCTCGGAAAAGACCTACTATCTTTCTCGCAATATTTAGCCCATTGAAAATCCAGACTTCCCCCTTTGCTCTTTTTGTAATCTGGCATTTCTAATATGTAAATGATGAAAACGCAACGTGTCAAACTACCCACAATAGCGACCCAGTACGAAACAGACGCTTTCATCGCATACAAAGTCTATAAAGAACAGCGGACAAGCAAAACTTAAAATAAACAAATGTAGTCACATAGTTCTGAAGAAAAGGCTCTAATCACCGATTCGCAAAATAGGCAAAATTTATTTATTTATTCGCTTTTAATGACATCAAATTCATTTCATTTATTTTATTATATTTAATTTATTTATCTGTTGGTGTAAACATCCCGAATCAGTACGCAGTGCAGATTATCTGTTTGTTTTCACTGCTAAAATCTTTAAATGTTTTGCCAATGTATAGAAAACAATGGAGCTGAAATTGAATACATCTTTTATTCAAACGCCACTCACATTTCCTACGTTTCTATTTATGGTGGAGAATCTAAAGCCTTGGTAAAAACACCAAGCGCGACCCTTGCTTACGACGAACTGAGCTACCGTCTTTGGTATTATAAGGACGGTGAAAAACTGTATAACTCAAATTTGGATGGGAGTGATTTGAAAAAAGTTTCGGTGCCATCAAATTTCGGTCCCTTTGCTGTTGATGCAGCGAATCAAAGTATCTATTATCTCACCAAGACTGATTTTAACCTTAAATTTATTGACTATGATGGGAACGACTTACCAGATATTGGTGTTTTACCAAACAATGATTTCAGAGATTTGCAAATCGACACCCATAACAGGTACATTAAAATTTCAATTTCAATTTGATATATATATATATATATATAAAATTATATATATATATATATATATATATATATATATATATATAATATTATATATATATATAATATATATACTATTTATATATATAACTATTTATATAAATATGTGGTTAAAAATTGAACCTTTAAAATAAGTTTGGAATTTTTTTATGTTTTTAAAATTCTACTTGACCACGGCAGGATTTGAACCCGCGGCCTTCGGTATACTAGTCCAGTGAACTCTATATATATGGAAGGCTCGCTCTAGTACATTGCGTAATCTAAAAGTGAAGCCAAACATGGCTGATCATGAAGGCTGCTTGGGTACCAAACCAGACCTCCGCGCACGAACGGTTAAAATTCAATATGGCGGCAACGTGTATGAGTGGAATTCGGTCAGTTTTGTAAACACAACAAATATACGGCATAAGTTACCTCTCTAGAAAGAATAACATTGCCAGGTAAGGTTGCAACAAATTGTATGTATTCAATTTTATTAAAAAACATATTGCATGGCTATATTTATAAATACATTATTTGAAGATCGATTAGTTATTAATTAAACTAAATCATTCGTTTCGAAACAAAGTATATTTGTTCAGTTGGTGCCTTTTACTTGTTGGTTTTCCTGCTCTCACAACATTTTCATTGTACCTTTTTGCATAGGTGAACAGTCTCAATCTGAAAAATTGATCTGCAATGCATTTAACAAACCACACACTGTGGTTGTCAAATAGTGTTTCACTCAAGCAATACCCATGGCTTTCCTGTTCTATACCGTTTTCAGCAGACTTGTAGCTGACTTCTTGTAACATTTTTTCTTTCAGCTTCTTCGTATTGGAGATTTTGTTATGGTTACCTGATGACACATAACACTTGAATACTTGCTCTGCACTTGCCACAACTTTAAGAGTAAAAGGTGAAGAAATGTGAAGGAATGAAGACCACCTTTGTTGATAAAGGAAGTGAATGATGAGGCTTTGTCATACATGTCAATGATGTCATCACATGGTTTGTAGGTTTGCACTTGATTGTGACTGGCTGAGCCTGTAATGTCTCCAATACTTTGTGAACAGTGTATTTTCTTGAGCAATTTTGAAACTATGAAACCAGAGATGTAGTGTAAGACATACATGGCGAACTCTGATAGAGGCTGCTGTAAGTGCGTAATCAATGATTCCATCTCCACGTTTTGATCTTCTTCAACTAAAATTGGTTGTAGGTTTCTCTTTCAGAGGAGATGCATGCTCCCTGCTATGTAGGAATGGGATGACTGAATGCTGATCTAGGATCTGGTAGTTGGCGTTTGTTGAAGCTGTGATTGAATTCTTCAGTAGCATATGTCGAAGAGTGTACTTCAGCTGAAGGCAGTTTGGATTGTTGTTCCATCCTCCTCTGGAAAGAATACAACTGAATAAAAGCTCAATATGATCTTGGGAATACTTGTAGGTCAGAAGATATTTGAATGGATTAGTTGGTTGAGTTAGCATCATTGTTGCCATTTCAATTGTGGATTTGATGGTTATGACGAACCCCAGAATAAAGGTTTTCCTTTTATGTTTCATTAGCAACTTGCCATCAGCTGACTTCAATGAAAGCAGATAGTTTGCAATCATCAAAAGTTCTGCTTCCCAGTGATTCTTACTGATTAGCTTCAAAGGCTGCTTAGTGCCTTTCCCGAATGAACTTCTTCTATTAAGAATATCAAAGACTTTGTCCACATTGCGAATGAATGTCACCGCTGCTTCACTCCCTTGAAATCTTGCATCTTTTGTTACGATGTTGAGGAAGTTGATGGCATCAGCAACAGATGAACTCAAGGTCTGTGCAGCAAGGTCTACTTTCATCCTGTGGGTCTCATATTTGATGTGGTTATTTGTCAGTTTATTTCCCAGCTTCAAGCCATGATTTTGCTGTATTTCATTGAAATTCTCCAAGAACTTCCAGTGAATGCTTTCTTTTTCCACAAATATTGATCCAAGGCATGCCAAAGAATTTCTTGCTAGCTTGAGCATATGACATGGATCCAGAATTACAAATACATCATAGCCAAGTAAAGGGTGTTTGACCTTAGTTACTATGGACATGTACATGTACTCCAAAGATGCAGCCAAGGTGTTTAAAGGTAGTAATGTTGGGTGATGTTCCACCAGATGTGATGCACCAAACTCGAAGACCAATATCTCCTGAATGGATTAAGGCTTTCTTGATAAGTTGCGCTTGAGTAATCGAGTTAAGTTTGTCCGTTAGAAAATATGCAATTGGACACTTCTAGTGGCTGCGTAACCCAACCAGAATAAAGACCAAGGCTTCAGATGCAATAACATTGGAAGGAGTTTTTATGTCAGATGGGCCATAATTTACAAAACCAACATATTCGTCATTCTTGGGATCCCATATGGCTTGCTTTCGAATTGACATTGCGTCAAAGACTAAACAACAGTCCCTCTTTTCTGCTGAATGTCTCCTTGATGAAGCCAGGTTCACATTCCACAGAGCTTGTCCAAATCTTGATACGGGATGGAGAAGGAAGTGGTAAGATTGTTCTTAAATACTGGTAAGCTTTAGGGGAATAAAAATTTACAGTGACAGCAAATTCTTTTACTTGCTCATTGTATCTTCTTCCACTTAAGGCTTTGGCCTTTCCATTCTTTAGCACATTGTTGAACAGAGATAACTTGAGGCCATCAAAACTATTGTGCAGTAGTGCAGCTTCATCTTCTTTCACCGATGATTTCGTTTTCAGGGAGTTTATCAGCTGTTTCATATTATTAGCCTTTCTCTTCTGTCTTTTGAGCTTCTGCTGTAATACTTTGGTTCTTCTCCTTTGAACTTTCACCAAGTCCAAGCGACTTCCAGGCAACGTTTTCTTTATTGTCATGCGATGTTCTCGAAATCTTTGTTTGAGATGTTCACTTGGATGACATGCAGGATCTTTAAATTCTCGTTCTTATTGAGTTTTTTCTTGATGTAGTAAAGTATCGTACTGTTTAACCAAGGCAGGTGGTTTAGACTTCGAAATGTTCTTGTCGGTACAAATTTCGATACTGCACCTAAAAACACATTTTTCCATGCGAACCATGCAATCCTCGTTAATGTCGCCGTTTGGACTAAGGTCGAGAGATTGAAAGTTTTCGTAGACCGTCAAAGTCAGAGTATCGGTCGTCAAACACTGTCGTCTAATCTTTCGGAACGGCATGAAATGCATGAAAGGAAGAAGTCGAATACACTAGCGTTATGATCGGTTGAAAGGTTTGAATCACTTGGTTTTAAAATTTGACGTAACTCGGTCGGGTACATTGGTAATAGGGAGCTTTAGCAGTGACTACGAGTACAACTACGCGAGTACGAGATTCGTCATTCTTGCGCGTTGTTTGCTTACGCCATCA